TCCCCCAGCCAATACACCGCCCGCATATCCGCAACGCGAGGGATCAGCCCGAAGAGGGTTTCGTAAGGAGGGGGCCCCGCCACCGCGGACTTCCGCGCGCGGGCAGGGGCCGCGGCGCCCTTAAGCCCCTCCTGGCTAACCCGGCGCAGGATGAGATTCTTAAAGGTCCAACAAAGCCGCAAAAAAGTCTTCACCACGTGCGGAAAGCGGCGATGGCCGCTGCTTTTTTGAAACAGCAACCGATCCAGCTGGGTGCCCCACCGGCGCCGCATCGCCCGCTGCGTTTCGCTCTCCTTCAGGAGGAATAGGTGCAGCATCACGATCCGCAAGAGCAGCGTGCTGACTTTCCGCAAAGCGGCCATCGCCGTCGCGAAGGAGCGGGACGATGGGGACAAAACCCCACTCGGCATCAGCCCGGACTCTTCCTCACCAATAAAAGGGCTCTGGAATAAGTCCAGGGCCCTCGGGGAGCGCGGGGAGGCCATCGCCGGGGGATCCGCCTCCGAGAAAGCCCGGGCCGAGGGGCCGAGGCCGCACTCACCGGTGGCGCTGGACAAGGCCGCGTGATAGGCCAGTAAAGGCCGCACCGCCGCCAAGACGCGCCAGCGTTTGGCCAAATCGTAGGCATCGATGAGCGCCATAATAAACCACGGCAGAAAGCCGTTCTCGTCCCTATTCGTCGTCGTATTCGTCGTCGTCGTATCCGTGGAGGCAAACTCCTGCCAGACCGCGGCATCGAGCAAACGAGGAATCGGCGACGGCGTGAAGACAAAGGGCAGGCCGAGGTAGCGAAAAGGCTCCAGTTCGCTCATGGGCGGTATTGAGCCCAAGCGACCGGGACCAATCGAGGCCGCATGGGCGTCGTTGTCGTCGTCGTCGTCGTCGTCGTCGTCGCTTTCCCGCTCGGACGTCGGGCAAAGGCGCTGTAAAAGCTGAAACAGCCCGCGATCCAGCCGCGATGACGACGGCGTCGCTATGGTGGCGGATAGAATGGACTGACCGCCACTTATCGCAGTCGTAGTCGTCGTAGTATTGTTAGGATTAGTCGTCGTAGTCGTCGTATTTGCCGGAGCCGAGGCCGCGTCGGCGCCGAGGTTGTCGAACTCGTCGTCCGGCAGCGAGGCCGCGAGCCAGATCCGCAAGGCGTGGGCGGCGAGGACGGCGACGCCGCCGTCCTCGCAAAAGGCGAGTTGATGAAGCAGCCGAAGAAGGCCGGCGTAGGCGGCGGCGAAAAGCGCCTCGACGTGGGCCGCGGGGGTTTGGGAATGCGCCGCGTCGTCGGGGCGGGGGCCGTCCCCGACGTCCGGCGCGTCCGCCGCGAGGGCGAAGGCG